TATATATATATATATATATATATACAAGTTCTCTTCTTCCTTTCCTCTCGCCGCACACTCTTTTCTTTTTCTACAACACACGTATATATACCAAAAAAACAAAAAGACTGCAACTCTAATTCTTTTTTTTTCTTTTTTTTAAATTATTGATTTGCCCTTTTTTTTCGGTTTGGGCTAGATAAAGAACCAACAATCTTCCCATACAGCTCATGATGAGATGTCGACCATACATTGCTCAATGTCCAATCAGTTCCATCTTCTTGGTGCAAAACTGATGTTTGTCACGAATCACCACCTTAGTCAACATGTCAGTTAAATTTTTATCAGTGTGAATCTTTTTCAATAGTATATCTTTATTATTCATCATATCTCATATCCAATGGTCTCTCACATCAATGTACTTTCATACGACAATGATATGTGATATTCTTACTCAAATCTAGAGTATTTTAACTATCACAATTCATCACATATTCATTTTGCTTAAAACCCAACTTTTTCGAGAAATCTTTTCATCTAAAGTATTTTTTTACCTGTTTCAGTCAAAACTATATACTATGCATCAATTGTAAATTAGACAATACATTTTTACAATTTAGAAAATGTAAACATATATCCTGAAGTAGACTTCATGTTATCAATGTCATCTATCATATATGCATCTGCATATCCCTTTAGAATTGGTTCTGAACCTCCAAAATACAAGCACATCTTAGAAGTACCTCTCAAATATCTGAAAATTCATTTTACTGCTTCACAATGACTCTTATCAGGATTAGAAAGGAATCTGCTTGCCAAACCAATAGCATGAGCAATATCTGATCGAGTGCAAACCATAGCATACATCAAACTCCCAACTACAGAAGAGTAAGGAACAACCGACATTTCTTCTTTTTCTTCTTGAGTAACAAGACATAATTTCTTGCTAAGTGTTAAGTGATTAGCAAGTTGTGTGCTAACTGGTTTAGCATTCTTCATATAAAATCTGTTTAGAACCTGCTTAACATACCTTTCTTGTGACAATAAGATAAATTAAAAAAAAAAATTGATTTTAATTTTTGATTGAATTTTTGAAAAAAATTATATTTTGGATGTATTTTAAAATATTTTGAAAAATTAGGGACAAAATAGAAATAAAGGATGATTTATTTGAAAAAAATCTGAAAATTTGGGGTAAAAGTGAAAATAACATAAATTTGGCAACGTGGACCGCCACGTCAACAACACGGCCGATCATCGTGCACCGTGTGGCAGACACACGGACACGCGTACATGCGGGAAGCCACACAGGCGATCCGTGTGCCAACAGATCCAACAACCCAAATCTCCTCCCGCGCATATGGACGACCCAGATTCGTTTTCTCTTCAGGCACAATTGAATTACTAGATTTAATCTGATCGTGCAGTCCAGATTAATTCTCTAAATATGAGCGATCCAACGGCTAGGAGTGGGCTATGTGTCCCTAATCTCGAATTTTGCAGGTTTTCACACAAAACTAGCTGAAACCAGCCAGATCAAGAGGAGACACCGCCGTGCCGAAACCCTAAATCGGCTGAAACCAACCAGATCAAGAGGAGACGCTACCATTCCGAAACCCTAAACCGGCTAAAAATTTTTAAAACCCTTATTTTTTTATCTTTTTTAGGTATTTTGAAATACGTGCCGTGTATTTTTAGTTTTCGCAGAAAAAATTCAAGAAATCCAAGAAATATCAGGAAGTGCAATGAAAAAAATGTTGTTTCAAACACCAACCCGAGGTAAGAATCCCTTACTCTTTTCTCCCGTTACAATTAATTAAAGTTAATAATAATAATAGTGTAATTTGTGAATATTAGAAACCTCTAATTAATTAAATACAGGTCACCAGTGGATACGATAATTGGTTAGTATGAATTACTTACTTTATATATACTGTTCATTTATTACTATACTGTTATTGTTACTTATCGCATGCACTTTAATTTATAGGTTTATTTGCCCTTTCATTAATTAATTACTTAACCGTTTATCCCTATCTGTTGATTAGTTTGAAATAAATGCCCTGATCACATTTTTCTTAATTGTTAAAGTATCAATTTGTATTATATGTTTAATTGTTATTCCATTGTTCTTTAAATATGGAATGAGATAGTTGTGTGTGGTTGGCGGCTAGTTAATGATGTGAACATGCATGTAAAAGGCTTACCGAGTATCATAGAAAATGATCTATGGACTTGATACATAGGGCAACTGTACGATGGACATTACCTCAGTCAAACGGGACTCAAAAGTCCCATACCGAAAAATATTGGGAAGTAATTGTTCAGCCTCATACGGATGGGTATTGAGGTGATGGTACGCAGGGGTCCATTACCGGATGGGGTATGGAGCCGACCGGTGGATTAATAGATTGGATATTTTATCCAGGTGTATGGAGAACCCCAATGGACCAAGA